ACAAAAAATGCCCTAGTGGCATGTTAAGAATTTATTCAGTTTTTGCTTAATCTTATGTTTCAAGTCTATGAAGCATATTCCAAAGCAATAATCATAACAGTTAAAATACACTTACTTGCACAACATTTTTGTTGAAGTCAGTTTTAGGTATCATATGTTCCTCAACATTCCTGGCAAGGGAGTGTAAATAATACATTAAAATGAGACTTTCCTTGTTCACTTGAGCTCCCTTCTTTGGTTGAGAAGTTATGAATATGGCTTGCCTCTTTTCACAATTTATCTGTGTTCACATGCAATTAATCTAACCTATTAACTCTACTAAACATCTGCTGTATTTGTTAAACACTTCAAAATTATGTTCTGAACCAGTTAATTCTAAGTAATTTCCCAGTTAAATATTTACAGGAGCTTCCCTGATGATAAGCTCTAGTCTGTCTTAAATAATCTGTCAATTGTCCAGAAAAGGCTGTGTGAAATGGGACCCTCTATAATAGGTATCCACTGAAACTTAGAATGGCTTAACTGGACTGAACTGTTTGTGCATATTTTTATCCTAACCCAAAGATGTAACAGCCTCATGATTTCCGTTATTGATCAACATTTTTATTGTCCAGAATTCCACTTAAAAAAAAAAAAAGCCTGATAAACACATGCAGATGTTTACATTGTGATTATCCTAAATATATTCTCAAGTTTCTCTTTCCAAAAAGTAATAAATCTTTACATTTGTGAAATTTAGGAATAAAACAATTTACAGCTATTTTTATAGCAGACTAACTGGATGGGGAAAAAGTAGAAAGAAATAGATAGGTATTATTCTTCAACCAATTAAATCAAAGAAAACAATATACACATTATGCAGATGTGCCATGTGCACAGTTACTAAAGGTATGATTTTCTAACTAGAGAAATGTTATAATCTGTTAAATCTCAAATAGTCAAGTAGAGGTCAAAGATTTAAGTAAGTTTCATAACAGAGGCGATGTTATAGGTGGTAAATGATAATTCTTAAATGAACTAACTGTAAGACAGTTTACTCTTTGTCATCAAGGAATGTCCTCACTTTTTATGAGGAATGAAGAGGAGACTGAAGGTATTAAAGTCCAAGTCCAAGTTTTAAAACTGAATATGAATATATGGACAGCAGAAACCTATTCCCTGCCACCACCACCTATTATTATTTAATCACTGCGTTTTCTTTTTCTTTCAATTTACCAAGTGTTTATTGAGTCTCTTCTGTGTGTGGTAGAAGATGGGGGTGGGGGGTATGAATCCTCTGTCCTCTGGGAAGGAGGGAGGGAGGGAGAGGTAGAAGAGGATAAAAAAGGGATAAATGGTCATGGAAGGAGACTGGACTTGGAGAAGTAAACACACAATACAGTATACAGGTGATGTATTGTAGAATTTTATACCTGAAACATATATAATTTGTTGTTGTTGTATTTTGTTAATCCTCACTCAAAGATTTTTACCCCCCTTGATTTTTAGGGAGAATAGAAGGAAGGGATGGGAAGGAGAGAGAGAAACATCCATGTGGGAGAAACACATGGATTGCATTGGTTATCTCCCACACATGCCTTGACTGGGTCAGAAATCAAACCTGCAACCAGGGTACATGTCCTTGACCAGCAATCGAACACAAAACCCTTCTGTGCCCAGGCTGACACTATAACCACTGAAATACACTGGTCAGGGCTGAAACCTATATAATTTAATTAACCAATGTCACCCCAATAAGTTTAATTAAAAATAAATATATAAGTAATCCTGTAGAACTCTTAGTTAAAATAATAAGTAAAATACATGCATAATGGCATTTACAAGACCATAGTAAGAATGAATTATGGGAGAGTTCTGAGACAAATGCTGGGCTCTACCCAAGTTTAATTTAAGTAGGCTAGAGCTTCAGTATATCTGTAATTGTCATAGTATGTGGTAAGTAAGTCCATTTTTAGACTTTACTAAATGAGGGGAGTAGTGAGCTGGATAATTTGAATAATAACTTATCACCAAATTTTAATGCATTATAAAAAGTACGATTTTTCTGCAGTTGTTGGCCTGTGCTTTACTAATGACAATATCATATAATTTTTCTTTGTAAATTTCAAATAATATTTTATAAAGGGCAGCCCCAAAATATTCTGAACATTAATGCAATGTGGCTAGGGATTAAAAATTGGTTGTGAATAATTCAAATACTGAGTATTCCATTGGAGATTAAAAATAATTTTCAATAGGTCCTAGAGTTAGCAGAGGTTAAGGGTGAAGGGAGGATTCAGAATCATGAAGATCCAAGTGGCATATAAGTGGATTATATATGTGAGTGAACTTTATCTTACTGTTTGGACATTGCTCACAAAACATTCTCATATATATTTTTTAATCTCCTGAATACATTTTACTTCAATTTTAATATTTTTACATTATGTAAACTTTTGTTATGTAACTTCTTCAGAAAGTAAAGGAAATGGAACTTTTATTACTGATATATGTGGCTCAGAACTAATTGTACTCCATTAATGAATACTTGATGTGTGTATTTTTAGTGGCTCGTATTTAAAAACACTGAAAGGGCTGTCAGCATTTGGATGGATATCAAAAATGTTATATATAAGTTTGACTATTCATGAAATGATAATAGTTTCCTAAGGGTAAGAGGAAAGCATTTAATCTAGAGCCAAGATTGTGTCCTTCTTGTAAATAATGTCACAACTCCCTATAATTATATTGTAATTAATACTTATTATATTTGGTTTTCAGCATTTGTTTTCTTATACACATTAGGAATTTACCAACCCTATGATGGCCTAATAAGCCAAATTTTCTTGGTTACATAACACATTCATAGCAAGAAAAAGAACTTTATTTTCATTCCTAGGATTTTATTCCTGCCTAAGGCAGTAAAACATAGACTCCGTATGTCCCTATAATATTAAAATTTTCCAAAATAGATAAAAGAATTGAAAATTATAAATACCTATATTTTATTGGTGTTTTATGAAAGAGTCAGAAAGATTTATAGAGAATACTGTGGATTAGTGGTATGTGCAGAATTTTTTGTACTAATGTTTTTAGAAAATTAGTTTCAACAATTTATACTAAATTCTGACAACTTTAATCAAATGAAACCTATCTGAATGAAAAAATTAAAATGTTTATAACCTTTTTCTATTCAAAATAAATTAGATAGTAAAATTATGAAAATTTAGTTTCTATGAAAAAAGGAAAAATTGAATATATACACGATAAAGTAGGTCATCACAAGTACATTTGATGTTTTAGTTTAATAGTAGCCATGACTTTTAAATAAAAAGGTCATATTATGAAAATGAATCCTAATTATTTTTAAATTGGGTAACAATAAAATATTTCTTTTGAAATGAACGTGATTTCAAGTTTGTTTGAATATATATACTAGACTTTTCTTTTATTCAAGCCATTTAAGTCATTTAATAGATGATGAATTAATCCTAAGTATTTGCAAAATCATTTGAAAATCACTGCCTTTACCCAAAAGCTTTTATTGGAGTTAATCGATTTCCTTATATGAATTTTCTTTTCTACTTAGACATTAATAGGCACATGCACAATGAATAAAACACAGATTTTACTACTGTCCTTAGAGTCTTGTGAGATAAACTGATCATTGCAGGAACAATCATTTAAATGAACTGGTAGCCAGTACTTTAAAGGTCAAGTGTAAGGCACTGTGAGACTGTGAAACAGGCCACCATCTCTTCATGTGGAAAGTCAGGGAAAGTCAGTCTGGGTTTCCTCGAGGTCAGTTTGGCTGTGATGTGGAGAATGGTAGGTCTGTGTCTAGTGTCAAAGAGGGAGCTCTTACAGATGAGCAAGCAAGAATCGATAATGGGAGCATTAAGAATAAATATAGATGGATCCAAATATACTTTGGAAATGCATTAAAAGAACTTGGGCACTGGGTATGAAGAAGAAATTTGAGGCAGGGATGTATGAAGGATGCAGTCTAGATTTTGTCATGAGCACCAAGAGGATGTTGTGTGGTTTTATCGAGTTGAGGAATGCTGGAAGGTCTCACTTTTGAGAGAGGGTCCTAAGTTTGCTGTTTTACATGCCTAAGTTTGAATGTCCATGAGCTAGAGGAGACCATGGGTATGGTCAAGCAGAGAGTTGGATATGTAGAAAATAAATAAACTTGGATTATAAAACTTAGAATTATTAGCCTAGAGAATTCAAAGCTCACTGATGAGAGAATGTGGACTGAGAAAGAAGAGCCTAGATCTCCCACAATTACAGGTGAACAAGGAAGAAAAAAATCAGGAGATACTAAGAATGAGCTTTCAGAGCAGTAACAACTTAGCAATAACTGCCGAAGATTTTATATAACCAGTAGTATTGTCATTTTGAGTGTCATGATGAATCGGAATTTTTGTGTAATAGTAACTGTAAGAATCAGGAGACTTGACTTTCAGAATAACAACATCAGGCATTTCCTGGGCCTTTTTTATGATCTAAACAAATGTTTGTTTTCCCTACCACTTGGCAATATTGTGAGAAAGTATTAAATAATGTCTATGATACTAAAAATTAAATGTTATGAATAGACATACGTTGAAGTAATTCTCATACCTTGTGTTTTCTTAGCGATACTTACAGAGCTATTCTCTATGGAAAACATAATTGTGTTTATAGTGTTTAAATATATTTTTTTTTGCCTGCAAACATTAGTTTGGTGAAACATGGTTCTGATCACGTGAGAGATTTCACTGGGAGTGAACATTAGACCTCACACCAGGGTTGGAGTCACCGTTTTTCTTTTCTGGAGTTAACTATAAAGATAGACCATTCAGAGTAGGACAGTTCATCATTGTTAATATATTTCATAGTCTAATCTTGGAAGAGCTCAAATCACTTTAAAAGTTTTGTTTGAACAGTAAAGTAGGTATTAATTTTTACAACATTCTTTGTGAGGAGGGTGTACAGAAAACAGGCCACTAACATGTGTCCTTTTCTCCTCATAGGGATCCCTGGGGATTCAAGGCCCCCAAGGTCCACCTGGAAAAGAGGGTCAGAGGGTAAGTAAACTTGGAACAACTAGCAGGCATCTCTAATTCAGGGGTTACTTATTTCTGAACACTAATAAAAATAAAACCAAAATATAACAAGCAGAGAGGCATAAGGAAAGTATCATCTGTCTGAAGGCTGACATCTGAGTTTTGAGCTGAAATTTGAGATTTTGACAGACAATTCAGAAAATTCTATATATTTTCAAGATTGGCAGCACAAATGTGTACAGTAGTTACCCCTTTAACTCTCTAGCCCCTTTCCCTTTTAGAGTTGATTAATCTACCTGAATCAGAAATTTAAATAGTCTTTAGTGATAAAAATTACTTCCTTAGATCTGTGCTTTGAGGCTGTCTTAAGCATTTAACCCATTGGGGGCAGAGAAATGGATAAAATGACCTTATGAAGTTAATTTCTAAGCTTATTCTGTGTTCTCACAGTGATGGCCAAGGTGTATATTGCATCTGTTTCTGAATTAAATGAATTTTTCAGCATCCAGGGAACATTTTTCTTCTAAGAACTACAGCTTTCTGGAAAACAAGTGATAACTTATACTTTCTAATTAATATCCAAGATATATAAAGAACTCAATAGCAAAGAAATCAATAATCCTATTTAAAAATGGGCAAAAGACCTAATAGACATTTTTCAAAGGAAGACATACAAATGACTAACAGGTATATGAAAAGGTGCTATTCAGGGAAATGCAAATCAAAACCACAATGAGATGTCATATCTACTAGAATGCTATTATCAGAAAGACAAAATGTTATAATTTCTACAGATAGTATAGGGATATTTATTCTTATTCATCACAGATCCATTCACAATAGCCAAGATATGGAAACAACCTAAATATCCATTGACAGAGGAATGTATAAAGAAGGAAATATATATATTTCCATACATACAAAAATTAATATTATTCAGCTTTAAAAAAAAAGGAAATCATGCCATTTATGACAACATGGATGAACCTAGAAGACATAATGCTAAATGAAATAAGCCAGATACTGAAAAACTACTACTGCATATTCTCACTTGTAAGTGAAATCTAAAAATGTCTAATTAATAGAAACAGAGAGTAGAGGGTGATTAGTGGGGGTGGGGAGAGAGATTTGGAGATACATTGGTAAAGGGATACAAAGTTTCAGTTATCCAAGATAAATAAATTATGGAGCTCTAATGTACAACATAGGTTGACAATACTGTATCATATACTTGAAATTTGCTAAAAGGGTATATCTTAAGTGTTATCACCACACACAAAACAGTAAATATGAAATGATGGCTGGATTAAGTTAGCTTGATTGTGGTGAATACTTCACAACATGTTTGAAGTATTATATATCAAATCATAAAGATGTACACCTTAAATATGCACAATTTTTAATTATCAAGTATAACTCAATAATCTAGAAAATAATAATAAACAGATTTTTCAGTTATAACTGAAAAAAAAACCACCCACTTATACTCGCTAAGTAATTTGAGATGGCAGAGCACATGTGTGTACATGTGTATGTGTATGTGCTTGTGTGTGTGAGAAGAACATTTAACCTGAGACCTACCCTCTTAAATTTTTAAGGGCACAATGATATTGCACTTTTGTGCATACAGACATGTGGTCAATTCATTTCCTCCTCTTTTGTTTTAATGAAAAACCCTGCCAAGTCATATAGTCACCCATTCTGTTGTTGTACAGTTGCCATTTTGAATCACTGAGTAGAAATTGATTCATGTCATTATTAAATTTCATCTTCTGGATGAGTCCATAATACCATTCTATTAGTTGGGCTTTTTAGTTTAGTTTTGTTTCCCCAGTGAAATAGTTCCCAGTTTTATGTCTCAAATTTTGATGAGTCTCCCCTCTAAGTACTCATTCAAATCATTAATGTATCCTGAATAGAATAGGGTCTGGCATTTCATTCAAAGGCTGCCATCTTGTCTACCATTAATATCCTGTGGCATGATAATCAAATCATAAACAAATACATTTGAATTCTACTTCCTTCCCACTCACCTGTCTTAATTTGGCCTGTAAGATAATTATGAGAGTCTTTGTCATAATAGCTAAAATAAAGAAAATATTTTAATGAGGCTTTTTAAAAAATAATAATGCTTGAATTTGAGATTGTACCCTAGCAAAACTTACATTTCAGAAGTTGGGTTAAAGAATAAATTAAACTTATCTATTCTTCATGATAATTGTGGAGGAATATATTCAACTTATAAAGTTCACCCACTGTTCTCTGCAAGTTTGCTCCATTTATAAATATGCAGAGTCTAGATTATTTTATATTACCTTTATTTTCTCTTCTATCAAGAGTGATACAGTGTAAGAAACTAAAGAACAGACTTTAAAGCTACTGTTAGACATGGTTTGTCTTTATTATTGGTCTTTTACAGGTGTTATATTTGTAGAGAAAAGGTAGCTAGAAGTAAGTATTATTGATATTATCCACATTTACAAATGATTATTTAAAAATATTCTCAGTGATATAATCTGTTTTATAAGCTACTTGAAAGAGAGCATGCTTAATTCATTTAAGAAATGAGCATGCTTTCATATTTACATTTAAGTCCATGTTAGTGCCACTATTTCTTCCCTGTGCAAGAGTTAGGTAGAATTCAGCTCTTTTAGGCATAGAAATGTATTTGTGAGTGTGCATATGTATATATACATACACACATACTTAAAGATAAGGCCAGTAATTTTTACATTTCATTGGAGTTTATAATAGAAAACATCATGAGGAGGACAGAGGGCCAGGACACTGCAGGGCCAATAAGTCAACATAAGAGAGGTTCAAGATGCAAGGAGGGCTCAGTAGGATTTAAATTTGTAACATAGAGATGGTGGATAAGAAAAGAGGTGGTTGGAATTGGTGCCAGCTGAAAGGTTTTAGTTGGATAATCAGGAGAGCATCCTATATAATAAAAAGCTAATAGCAGTCCCCTCAACCAGAAGTATGACCAGGAGTTTGACTGGGAGTTAAACCAGTGGGCAGGGCCAACCAGTTAACCTCCCACATCTCCTCCCCCTAATATGCAAATTGTCCCCTCAACCTGGAATATGACCAGGAGTTTGACTGGGAGTTAGATCAGTGGGCAGGGCTGATCAGCCAACCTCCCATGTCCCCTCTGCCACCCAATTGGCCCCAATGGGAAGGGAGGGCAGCCGGACCTCATCTGTGCACAAGTTCATGCACCAGGCCTCTACTTGGAAACATAAATTGTAAGAAAAGGTTTGATAGAATTGATGGATTGTGAGGAAGGAGAGGCAGAAGTGGGAAATCTAGTAGAGGGATAAGGGTAGGAACTAGAGGGCACTCTGGAAAAGGTATCTTTATGAATAGTGAGGAAATTTAGAGCTGAGCCCTATTCATTGACATTTAGATGAACATCTCAAAAGAACTGGCATTTTATAAACATTCCCTCTGAGATATGGATTTTTTATAGGATTTCCTAATATTCCTAATAGAATCCTCCAAAATATATTTTTTTAAAAACACACACAAAAAACCTAGAGGCCCAGTACACGAAATTCATGCATGGGAGGGGATGTTCCTTAGCCCAGCCTGCACCTTCTCCAATCTGGGACCCCTTGAGAGGTGTCCAACTGCCCATTTAGGCTCAATCACACTGGTCAGACATCCCTCTCACAATCCAGGACTGCAGGCTAGTGATTGAAGCTGTTTATAGAATGGAAAAAAATTTAGAGTAGTACGGTGGGAGTTGACTAAAGGGAATATCTAGTTAGCCAAAAAAAAATAAAAAAAGTAAAATGACTGTTTTCATTCCCACTCCATTGAACCCATCTTATTGAACTCTTATCTGAATTCTTACTTTCTTTGTATGTCCTCCCCCATGTTCTAATATCCCAGAAGCTTTATGAGGCCCAGTGTTGATCCAGCTTCATAATAAAATGAAATACCTAAAAATTTTTTATTTAAAGGATCAGAGATGAGGATTGGTGTCTTCATCATAGAGTAGCTTAGGCCTTAATGCTTATTTAGTGCATAAATTGTGCTGATCATGTATAAATTCACCAAGTATTCATGGAAAAACCTTGTCCTTCTTTTGGCTTGTTTCTGGATTGATTGATTTATATCCTTTATCTGAGAAGATACAAGTAATATAAATAATGTTTTAATAATCCCTGAGTTATATCAGCCTCATTAGGGAAAAAGGACCACAAAATCACTGCCTCTGTGAAATCAGCACATGCTATAGAACTCATGTAAGCAAAATTTTCCTTAAGCTGATTTGCTTTTATGGGACTTGATATATTTTTCAAGTGAAATTTTACCCAGATAGCTTACCCATCTTCAGTGAAGGCTTCATAGAACACAGCAAACCAGTAAAGCAGGTCAGGACTGCCTTACTCCCCCACAGTATAAAATCATTTCTTCCCACTCTAGGATAGCTTATTCCACACTGCTAACTCCACAGCCATAGAATGACCTCAGAGTTTCAATGAAGCAAGTTCAGGGGCTGGGAGAACCACTAACAATTCTCTGTAGTTGCAATTCAATTCTTTTACATGGGCCTGAATTTGGGAGAGGAACCTTATGAAGAAAAGAATAAATAGTGATAAATTTTCAGCTCACAAAGTAATTTGGTTAGTTGTACAGTATAATTAGAGGGAAATAGGAGATTGTTTTCCTATCCTTATGTATTAAAACTGACATTGACCGGTAAAATGCACAGTGAGCATGTACAAAAATTATGTTCACTCACTAAAGCTATGACTAGTGTCTTTGTACCAAGAGTTTGGATTGCTAACAGGAAAATTATTTTAAGTAATAATTCTGCTCTGGTCCTAGGTAGAACAGGAGCAAGGGGGGTTGGATCCATATATAAATGTGTAAATATGCATATTTTATGTAACATTTTAGAGGTTCTTTATTCAACGAGTAGTTCATGTTAATTGCGTATGTTTTAAATTTCCACTTTACTTCCTATGAAATAGTCTCCTTGAGGATGCCTTGAGAGTTTACAAAAGATA